TGACTTTATTATAATCTTTATCTATCTCAGCCGTACAACTGTACCTATCGAACCCACGATTAGTCGTGGGGGGCTGGCCATTCCCCCCTACAAATGGCGCCCATCGTGTGGCAGTAGGAAAAGAACTCTTTTGAGTTGTACCCTGTGTACAATTGTAAGGCCCCGCCAGAATGTAGAGTGAATCAGACAATTGTGTGAAGTTGAGGATCTGGTGTGGGGATTGGCAGATAAGTAGTGGAAATAGGAATGAATAAAGAGAAGAGTGGGGTAAGGTAAAAGCAAGCCTACAACTTATGGTACTACGCTCATCCACTTACTGAAAAGACAGGGCATAAAAGTAACAAAGAAAAAGATGCAATGTTTTCTAAACGGAGTCAAAAGGTATAATCCATGGTTCCCAGAGGAAGGAACTTTTGATCTAGAGAGCTGGGGGTAAGTCATTGTAAACTTAAAGAAAGCACAGAGATGGGGAGATTATCCCTGTGAAGTCATGGTCTCTGTGGGTTCAAGTTAAGATGGTTTTAAAACCTTGGCAGGAGGAAGAGAGAGGACTATCAGTGTAGTGAAAAGTCTTTTGTCTGTTCCAATCTAGAAAAGCAAGCTAAAGTGTCTGTGAATGAGTATGATTTAGGTGATGAAACTTTAGAAAAATAATGAAGAAGCAGGGATTGATTTGTTATGCAAGGCCTCCGATTCTAAAGGAAACCTCATGGCCAAAGCCTATATGCCCTTGAGGGGCTGTAGCCTCTGAAGGTTAAAGGAGATAAAGCACTAGAGGAAGTGAATTCAATTCCAAGACCCAAATCAAGGCTATTACACAATCCCAGGAAGTGTCCTTGCTTTCAAGGGCAGGGAAAGCAGAGGAACAGAACCAGCAGAGTCGTGAGAAGCATCTGAGACACCCAGACTTAAATGTGGTGAGAGGCAGGCAGAATGGGTATCACAGGCAATGAGAAGGTTCTATGCAGAGCTGAGAAAACTAAGCCTGCATCAAAATGGGAAATGATATTAAAAGCACCTGCTCCCCTGCTGGAATGTAGTGAAAGAAAGACTTGAGACAGTAAAATAATTAACCAAGCCAGTGCTGGAGGTAGAGAGATGAACTCCAAAGAAATGCAAACTGAGGGAGCTAACACAGAAGATGAAGTTCGGGAAGTGGAGCTTCCCGATGTACCTGTCTCCAGAAGGCCAGCTCAGAAAACAGAAGCAAAGAGGCGAAGTATAGGAAAGCAACTTTACTTTCAAGCGTAGAAGGGGGGAATGCAGAAGGAGATCTTGAATTTAGAATGTCTTACCCTGTTAAGAGTTGTTAACAGACAGCCTTAAGAGAATCACCCACAAGGAATTCACTTTGAGTTGTTAAAAGCTCTCAAGCAGGCAGTCAATGATTATGGCCCAGACTCACATGTAATTAGCATGCTAAGGGCTTTAGCAGAGTCTGAGCACTGGCCCCTGCTGACTGGAGAGCCCTGGAAAAGACTGTTTATTCTTCAGAGTTCTTTTTTTTTTTTTTTTTTTTTTTTTTTTCAGAGTTCTTACAATAGAACATGTGGTCGGATTTCACAGCCCATTCACAAGCTCGAAGAATGCTGAGGACGGGATAGCTATAGGAATTCATCAATTGCTAGGGGATAAGAATTATATCAT